TTCAACCTTCCTATCCCACTCAGAAACTACAGGAAGCTATTTACGTCTGTAGCCCACTCTTTTTTTTTTTTTTTTTTTTTGAGACAGGGTCTTACTCTGTTGCCCAGGCTACAGTGCAGTAGCACCATCACAGCTCAAGCTCACTGCAGCCTCGGCCATCCTGGGCTCATGTGATCTTCCTGCATAAGCCACCACACCTGGCCTGAAGCCCACCCTTGCCTCGCACACTAGTCTCTGGCAAAGCAGGTGTCCATAGTTTTAATGTGAATCATGCCATATCACTTAACAACCTAAATAAGGAACACTTACAGAGTTTAATATCCAGCACTGATTGCATGAGAAAACCATGGTTGTATGCAAGTTTTCAAACACTCTTTTAAAATACATCAGATCAGTCTCTTCATTACAAGAGGAACATTTAGGAACAAATTCCTTCGGTAATGAACCTCACCTGATACCTCACTTTTTCCTGGCAGTCATTCACTCACTACCCTCCTTTCCCGGTAAGTACCAGCAACCAGGAACACACTCTCAGACATTCTCTGTCTCTCTCTCTCAACTGTCCTAGAGGGCATCACCCAAGGCTGCTAGACAATAAATCTATAAGAAAAAGCCTGCTAGCCAGACATTCACTCTGACACAATTGCGACCCTGTTGTTTCCTGAAGGTTTGGGACAGCAGATCATTCTTGGACTGAGTGTGTGAAGCAAGGCTTTGCTGTCAGCCTCCAGAAAGATGACACTCGTCACATCCTGGCATTTTGAGAGCCAACCTGGCAGGAATGAGCTTCTCAATCTTACCCAGTCATCACAAGAGATGCCAGGCCTACTTTGGGTTCTACCTAAAGGAGGTCTAAGGAAATGGAGCAATTGCTTTCTCTGTAGAATCTTTGTTGGTTATTCTGAAATACTGTAACATTTTGGAGCATAAATGATAAGGGCCCAAATGATTCTTTTGACTCAAAACACAACTGAAAAATACAAGAAACAAAACTATTGACTACAATATATCTGTGGGGAAAAAAAAAAAAAAAATCTCTTGGCCAGGTGCAGTGGCTCATCCCTGTAAGACCAGCACTTTGGGAGGCTGAGGTGGGTGGTTCACTGGAGCCTAGAAGTTCAAAACAAGCCTGGGAAACATAGGGAGACCCCATCTCTACAAAAATTACAAAAAATCAGCTAGGCATGGTGGCATGCACCTGTGGTCCCAACTACACAGGAGGCTGAGGTGGGAGGATTGCTTGAGCCCAGGAAGTGGAGGTTGCACTGAGCTATGATCATGCCACTGCACTCCAGCCTGGGTGATGGAGAAAGACTATGTCTCAAAAACAAAAAACAAAACAAAAAAAACCTTTATTCTAGGAGGACTTCTGCCTGGAAAAAAAACAAAAAACAAAAAACAATGACATTCGGCCTGCTTCAAAGTTTCATCAGATAATAATTAGTAATCTTCAAACACAGAAGATCCACAAGAATTAAAGAATCGGGATGCTAAAACAACCCTAAGTTACAAAGGCAGTTTGCCTCAACACATAAATGAAACAATAAACAGAGATAAATTAGGAGGCTGCCCCAGTGTAAGTTTGGACCAGAATTTGAGTGTTCTGATTCCCGATCTACACTTTCTGTATCTCTCCTAAATCCACAGCATTAAAGTTATCATTTGTAACAATAGCTCAAAGAATTTTTATTTCTAAACAGAGACTCGGCACACTTTCCACATTTATAAATATCACAGCAAAACACATTTTTGAAAGAAGGAAGAAGTTCCTGAGAATGACTTACTGAATCTAAAGAAGCATTAAATCAAGAAAATTCATCAAACAGCTGACAATGCTATATTATTACTAATAAATAACATTTTTTCTTTGTGATCAAGTTAATAACATAATGGTATACAATTTTTATTCTAAGGGAAACTGCCCAGTTAGGTTTAAAAACAAAACAAAACAAACAACAACAAAACAGATACCTTACTCTGTCAATCAAGTAGCCACTACAGTGGTCCTTCTGGTCCTTACTCAGAGGTAAGTATGATATAAAGGCTATGCTAAAAACCATCAAGCTTTGAGATCTTCAAACTCAGCCAAAAGTCATTGACTTTAGGCTGCTCCACTTTTTACCAACCATGCTGGGCTTCCATATTGCTGTCCATATGCTGTCATAAAGTGACATGTTCTGGCTACCAATGCCTCCACTGTCAACACCCCAATAGTGGGGATGAACAAAAAGACAGGGCTGTTTAACTGGACAAAGCCCAACTCAGCCAATTCTTTGATCTTTCTTTTTTTAGAGACAAATACCTAAGACTGAGAAGGCGGCATTGAAATTCACAATTTTAGCCTCAACAAGGACATTACTGACTTCACTTAATGTAAAATAAAGATGTTGGATAATCAGGTATTTCTTAGGTATGTTCTCAGCTTTGAAATAAATGACAAAGCATAAGAGGGGAAGAATCTTAAGAGAATTATTCCTATTACAAAAGCATTTCATTCTACAAAGGGATTCACAACAGCCTTTTAAAATCATGTTATACATTATAGAATACTGCAAAGGAAAAAGACGTATATATAATATGCTAGAAAGGGATTGAAAGTGAGTTGTAGCAGTGATAATATTCAATGGTTCTGTTTTATTGATTCAGGCCCTTGATGGATGCTACTGAGATGAAGGTCATAGGTTGGATCCCAGGATACGTCATTTAGGTTTGAGAATAAGAGAAACCTACAGAACTTCTAACTCTAGATACAACTAAATTGTAGATTTTCAGAGAATTGAGAAGGTCTGAATGGTTAAAGACAGAGCTGTCACAGGAAGAAACAAAGCAGACAGTATTCCAAAAGTCAGTAGCATTCTATGACTTATGTGCCATATTGGATTATTATTCTGAACATTAACCATAAACTTTCACTTTCCATACAGGCCATTAAATCTCTTCTACTTAGATCAATGGCCTGAAGGAAACTGACCAACTCACTACATATCAATATGAAGACATTTGCTGTGACTGACAATTGAAAGCAGCTCACCCCTTTGTGTAAACTGTTAGTCAAGTCATGGGATTCTGGGGAAAAAATTTTTAAAAAGAAAAAATGTTAGAAGAGGAAAAATGAACTTCCAGTTTTCAACTATATTAATGTTTATCTTTTTGAAGGCTGAGACAATCTAAGTACAAAACCATCTCCATTCTAACAAATTAATTTTTTTAAAACACAGTGAACAGCCTGGAATCAGCATAGAGAAGGAGGATGTCAGGAAATTTCAGCTTTTTGTGCACAGATCATGCTTTTGTTCTCCAACACATAAGACTGCACATCTCTTTCAAATGCATTAGCTGTATAAAAGTGAGCCCAGCCAGAATTTATCAGACACAATTTACCGGAATTCAGCAATTGTGTGTGGATCCCCTACTATGTGCCAACATAGAGCAACCTGCTATCCCTGAGTCTGCTTGTTTCTGGAAAGAATACAAAACAGAATAAGTTCATATTTTCTTTAACCAAACATTTGCTCTAGAGGTAACTGTACACCTGCAAACACACCCACTTTTTCACAGTGAGCCATAGCACTGCATGGGATCAATGACACATCTGTATTAGATTCCAATAATTTTAATATATGTCTTTAAGTCTGTTGCTTTGTGCATGTCAATTTCTGCAGGCCAACAGCTGACTTCGTTTTCAAGCAACAATGTTGTCCAGTGAAAAATACACCTTCCTGAAACAAAAGATACTTTTTGTTCCCATGAAGCTTTGTTGCTTCTTCCAGCAGCAAATGACTCAAAAGACACGCTCTGCCATCCTCAATAGTGGTTTTCAGGCCAAGAGGAACAGCAAATGAGGTACCAGCAAAAGCTTAAGAAACAAAACCAAGGTGAGTTAAGGGGCAGGGAATAAAGGCGGAGTGGAAGTTAGAAATGGAATCTAAACTCCACTTGGTGATCTAAGAAATAGAGCCTTTACTGATGAATTGGGCAGAGGAAAGGTGGGGGAGGGGGGTACAAGATAAGGGAAGACAATATTTTCTGTTACGGAAAAAAAAACAAAAAACTGTGCTGCTATCCCGGTTTTCTTTCAGTAGCACCCAGAGACTACATGGCAAGCACAATCTCGTTTCGTGACGAAAACGGATTCCATGAGAATAACACAAGTTTCTATGTGATACAATGGAGATATCCAACCAAACCGAGGAACTATACAATTACATGACAATTGCTCAAAATTTTAAGTGCGTTCGGGTACCAAAAAAGAAGTTCATGATTATTCACAGGACACAGTTATTAGTTTAATATCACTAATTTGCAGGATATGCACCCGTCCTGTCATATCCTCTTTTAAAGAAACCGCTAATGACCTGAAATGCTATTAGCCCCTGTCTGCCAGGACTGTGGGCCTGACAGTCAGCGTCTCGGATAAAAACCAAACAGCGACCAGAAGTCAGGAAGTCCCTGGCGAATTCTTTTGAAGCACAGACCCTACAATTCCTGTGCCGGAGGCTAAAGATTGAAGTGTGTGCGGTTCCTCCTCCCTTCGGGCCCCGCGTCCGGAACGTTCCTGGCTGTCAGGTGGGTGGCGCGGGCCCGGCGGGAAGCCCTGCCCGGCCGCCTCGCGTGGCGCGCGACCGAAGAGGGGAGAGCCCCGCGGAGTACAGCGGGTCCCGAGGCCGGCCACCGCTCACCTTTGTTCGCCTGCCCTCGCCGGGAGAAGGAGAGAGCAGGGCCCAGGAGGAGGACAGGGGGCGACCCTAACGCTCTGAGGCTCCTCCCCGGCGCCCGAGAGGAAATCCGTGGCACGCCAGACCCTCTCTGGCTCCCAGAAAGCCAGCCGGGCAGGGGGGTCAGCAACCCCTCTCCGAACACAAAGGTTGGGAGGCGTGAACGCGAGCGCTGGGGGCTCGGGGGCGTGCGCCACAGAGCACACGAGTGTGCGTGTGCGCGCGAGTGTGTGTGCGCGCGTGTGTGCGCAGGGGGAGGGGAGGAGGGGCTCCAGCCCTTCTTACCTCTCGAAGATGAGCCGCACCATGAAGATGCAGAAGGCCAGGGGAAAAGCGAGGTAGAGGTCCTCAGCCTGCGGGAAGGTGGCCTCCTCCGTGTTCTTCAGGTCCGCCCAGGTGACATTGTGCGGGAGCCAAAACCTCTCGTTCCAGAACCAGGCTAAGATCCCTGCCATCTTGCTTTGTCCACTCCTGTCCTGCGGCACCCGCAGCCCGCTGAGCTCTCCACCGCTCAGGACGCCCAGGGATGCGCGCCCGGCTGGCCCCGAGCCTGTGCCGCCGCCGCTGCCGCCGCTCCTGCCCGCAGCCGCCTCCTCCGCAGCCGCTGCTCTCGAAGGCTCGCGGCGAGCCCCGGTTCTCTCCTCCCTCTGGCCGCGCTGGGAAAAGGGGCCGCCTCGCCCGTCACATGGTAGCTCGGGCCGCCCGCCCTGATTGGCTAGTCTTCGCGTCAAGCAGCGAGGCACACACGCGGCCAACTAGCCCACGCCCGGAGGGAAGGGCTGCGCCCTAGGCGCAGGGGCACCGCTCCGGAGAGTGTCGCCTGCCCCGGCTGTCACCGCTCTCTCGCTTTGTGCTTACGGCGACGACCCGAAGTCGGCCCCCCAAATCCGCCCTAGCCTCCTGGCTTGCTCGCACATGCTCAGAACGCTGACTCCTGCCCCGCTCTGGTTTCCGGGCTCTCAGCCCTCTTCCTTGGCGCCCGGAGGCGGTAGGTCGGCAGGTACGGGCTGGGGCCGAGCTTCAGAACCAGCCCTGCTGGAGAGGACAGCAAAAGGAGAACTAGGGGGTAGAAAGTGCAAAGGAGGAAGTGGGAGGGAGAGGATCCTCCACTCCCGCGCTTGGAGAGGCAGGGTGAAAAATCAGGAACTGTGGCAGGATGGTTTGGCAAGAGCCTTGTGCCTCTGCCCCATGCCTGCCTTTCCGCAATCTTTGACTTTCTGGCCTCTTATACTACTACTTCTCATCAAAGCAGCTCCCCCAGGGAACAAGCCCCCCCATGTTGATTTATGAGGTGGTACAAAAATTAGGCACTTAATTGCTATTTAATAATTGGTACTTGATGACAATAATGACAACGATGATAGCAACTGCAGCGTTCTGTAAAACCACCCTTCTCAACCAACCTCTCTGAAAAGGCTGCTAGGCCACATTTTGACCTTGCAGATTACATGAACCTCCACTCTGCTACTCGACAGGCTTCTTATTTCTGCCTTTTGAATCTGAAACCCTTAAGGCATAAGGCCTGTGAGGCCTAACCCAGGCACCTTCCCTCCCGCAGTGCATTTCCCCATTGATACAGGAGCCATGTGTGAATTTGTTCCATGGCCCGTGTATACCTAGTTCTGGGGTATTTTTCTTCATTTTTCTCACATTTACTTTCTGCGTGGTGCTGCCAGTAAGCTATACTGAACCTTTCCAGTGGGCATATAACTGCATACACACGCACGTGCGTGCACACACACACACGAGTTTCTCTTAGTCTTCCTTCCCCTCTTTCCACTCTGTCTCTTGAAAGTGAAACTGAAGAATGGCCTGTACTGGTCCTTCTAATTTTTCTCCCCTCATTTTCATTTGAACTTCCATTTGGACATTTTGCCTCCTCTGCTGCATTGAAACTGCTCAAAGTCACCTGTGATCTTCATGCTGCTAAACACAAAGGTTAGTTCTTATCTTAGTTCAGGCTGCTTAGACTAGGTGGCTTAAACTGCAGAATTTATTCCTCACGGCTCTGGAGGCAGGGAAGTCCAAGATCAACGTGCAGGCAGATCCAGTGTCTAGCAAGGATCCTCTTCCTGTTTTGAAAACAGCTGTTTTCTTGTATACCCTCACATGACAGAGAGCACAGAAAGAGGAAGCAAGCTCTCCTGTATCTTCTTATAAGGGCACTAATCCCATTCATGAAGGTTGTACCCTCGTTAGCTAATTACCCCCAAAAAACTCTATCTCTGAATACCATCACATTGGGAACTAGGATTTCAGCATATGAATTTTGAGTGGACACATTCAGTTAATGGCAGTTCACAACACCTCTGTCAGTAGCATTTGGCCCAGTTGTCAGGTCCTCGGTGTTGAAACATTGTTGATTTGACTTCCAAAAACTTCACTCTTCTGGATTCCTTCCTCCCTCATGGCCACCTCTTCTCAGTCTCCTTCCTGATTACACCTCACTTTTCTAACCTCTAAAACTTGGAGCAGCCTCAGAGTCTGTCTTTGTCCTCTTCACTTTTCTATCTGAATGTATTCATTTGGCGATTTTATCTAGTCTCCTGGCTTTTAATGACATCTGTATGACCTCCAATGTCATGCTAATAGCTCCCATATTTATATCTCTAGCCATGAACTTTTTCCTGACTTTCTGACTCTTAAATCCACTGTCAATTTAACAACACCATTCAGATGTCTAAAAGCCATCTCATGGCCAAACTATTAATCTTCCCCTTAAAGCCTTTTCCTCCTATAGTCTTGATTCAAGCCAAAAATGTGGAGTCATTTTTTTCCCTTCTTTCTTTCTCTCATACCACCTTTCTAATCCATCCCAGATGTCAGCACCATTTTTAAAACATAATCTCACCATCTTTCACCCACCTCCTCTGCTACCTTCTTGGTCCAAACAGCCAACATTTCTCATCCATGTTACCCCAGTAACCTCCCAACTTTCAGTTTCACCCTTTGCCCCTCTACAGTCTATTCTCAGCCAGTGTGATCCTGTGGAAATTTGTCAGATCACTCCTAGGGTGAAAACCCTGCTTCTTCTCCATCCCTCCCAAGTGAAATCCAAATTATTCCAATGACCTGTGATATTTGACTCCATATTAGCTCTGACTCATTTACTATTCCCTCTCCCTCACCCTGCCTGAGTCCACACTGGCCACCCTGCCCTTCCCAGGACACACCAGCCATGCTTTAGAGCCTTAGAGCTTGTTTTTCTCTCTCACACAAATATCCATGTTTGTTCTTTCCTGACATCACTTTCTCTCCGAAGCCTTCCCTGGCCACCCTAGTTAATTTTCCTCCCTCTCTCCCCACCACCACTCCTCCCATCCTGCTTTGTTTTCCTCCGAGGCACCTACCACCATCAACACAAGATATATTGTACTTGTATCTTCATTAATCGCCCACATACACGCACTAAATATAAGCTTCAGAAAGTTAAAAAAATTGTTTTTTATCAACTGTTCTATTCCTAGCACTTAAAAAACTGCCCAGCACCTAGTAGATAATCAATAAACTATTGAATAAATGAATCAACATTACTCCAACCCTAAAAAGTCTTCTCAGGGAGAAGAAAAAAATCTGAATAATTGTGTTAAATGTTTATATATCTCTGTTAGACTCGTGAAGAATAGCGTGGGCATAAAGAAGGGATTGGTCAATTCTAGGGTGAGGGAGGTGAGGTATCATTGAAGTGAGTCTTCATTTGGGAGTAGAAGTCACCATCACCACTCCAGACCACATGGCCAGCTGCTGAGTAACACTGGAACATGCCTTGGCACCAACTGCATTCTCATAGGCCACAGATAGAGGTTTGTTAAGACTTCTCACCACCTTTGTGGTCGAAAGTCATGTCATGGTGAGCCTACCCTCTGGGAAGCCAGATTCTTCTGTGACTCCCTCTGGTTTTTCATGTCACTCCCTCCTGTATGACCTGATAGTACCTTGCCTCCTACCCCATGGTTTCTATGGTCTCTAGCAGCTCCTCTAGTTCCCCAACCGTGTGTAATAGTGTTGGTGAGTTAATGCCCTAGGATCTGACTTTGATCTTGGGCAATGAAGACAATGGTACATTTTTATTCCTTTCTTTCCCACCCCTCAGACATACACAATGGCTTCAAACAGCCTCTCTGAAAATATCCCCTGGTACAAACCCATCATTTTATTTCAAGGTTGTGACCCACTGTGTAACTCACCCCCTTATATTTCCTCTCCTCTTTCTCATCTCACTCTCCTTTTCCTTCATTCCTGCTTCCCTGAAACTTAGAAGCTAAACTCATAGGAGAGCAAAAGATAATGTGGTTCTCCCATTCATCAAGTTTGAGAAGGTGGTGGGATTTCAGGAACATTTTGAAAGGTGAGTTTTGTTGGACAGTGGAAGGAGGCTTTAGTATTTTTTTAATGAATCTTGCACAAGTTCCTTTGTTTCTAAGAGCATGTTAATACCCTCCTGCATGATTTGTGCATCAACAGAACCTGTCTTGCCTCTGTCACTATTATGAGGCTCATATGAGATAACATATGAGAAAGTGCTTGTAAACTATTCCCCTCTATACCCATGTACAGTGCAGCAAACACCTCCTCATCTGTCTAGTAGAACTCCTCCAGCCAATGGCCCCTTCCTACCACCCTGCATCTAAATGTTTGCCCCAGAAGCATAATAGAGTAAAATATCATTCCAAATATGATCACATTTTATTGGTCCAGAGATGGATAATAGGCCCAAGATGGCAATAAAAGTCCTTTTTCAGGTGTTGTAAGTCAGGTCAAGACAGCCTTTCTCTGGATGCTTAGATTTAAGGATTCAAACTCAGAGGCTGTTGGCCTCCTTGCATCATTACACAGCTAGAAAAAGTATAAGCTACTCTACAACAAGAGAGAAAAATAAAGCAGACCTGGAGAGTTAAAAGTAAGAGACACACAGAGAGTCCTGTTGGCACTGGAGCTCCAGGTTCCATTTAATACCTAGGGACCACTGCCTTCTCTTCCTTAGATTCTATGAAACAGACGCATATCTTAATTCTGCTTTTGGGCTATGTTGCTGTTATTTCAGTTCCCAAAAGTCCCACTATCTAAGAAATTATTCTAAGAATAGATGTCTTTTTTTTTTCTTTTTAAGAGATGGGGGTTGTACTATGTTGCCCAGGCTGGTGTACAGTCCCACTACTGCTTAGCATGGGAGTTTTTATCTGCTCAGTTTCCAGTCTGGGCCAGTTCACTCCTCCTTAGGCAACCTGGTAATCCCCTGCTCCCAGGAGGTCACCATATTGATCCTGAACTTAGTGCAAACACCCAGTTGGCATAGTGCACTACAGCCCAGAACTTCTGGGCTCAGGCAGTTCTCCCGCCTTAGCCTCCTTCCTGAGTAGCTGGACTACAGGTGCATACTACTGCACAGCAAGAGTATGCGTCTTTAACACTATCCTGAGCTCAGCTCAGGCCCTAAAGAAGTTAGTCACAGAAGAGGGATAGTATAGCATACCTCCAAAGAAAGCTACTTTGTAACTGTACAAGAAAGACTTCTAATTGTTGCCCCAGGAAACCAAAATACAAGTTATGCATCAGACTAATATGCAGCCCAGTGAGGAAGTAAGCTGGTCGGTGAACAGAAGGGACAAGGCAAGAGAAAAGGTGAGCAAAAAAAAATGTGTTCAGGGGAGGTGACACCAACTAGACTGCATATTAGGAAAGCATGCTTTGTTTACTTAATAGAAAACATCACCTGAAAATACACCCTTATTTCCAAGCAACTGGGAAGTAGCAGCAAAGCTGAGCTTTTTCTCTCATTCTCAGGTCCACACCCAGGTCTTAATTTGAGCTCACATTGTAAGCAATCTCCACTTTTTAGATGCAGGAGAACAGCCCGAAGTTTAGATGAATTTCCACTCTGAGTTGCATAACACAAACGTATATAGTACTTGTTCTACAAAAAACATAAAAGCCATTTGGGGAGCAGAATCTGCTCACATGAAAAGCTAGAAAACAAAACATGCCAACACCACTGAAGATGGCCCTTGACAGTATGTGACAAGTATGCAGGTAT